TATTAAATTAAAAATAAACTTTTTTCCATGATTAAATAATTGGTTGACGATTGATTCCAGTGAAATAGGATCAAGCAATAAGATGATATATTTTTTTTTAGTAACGATAGTTCAGATATGATTTGATTTCAATTTAGTTTATTGCATTTCAATACGTACGTACATCCGCGTAGAAATCGACGCGGCAACTGGCGCGGCGAATGCGCTGATAACGTCGCGAGCAATGACGGACGCCCAAGACTCGTAGGATCCGCCGTGAAGACGAGAATCCTGAAGGTGACTACCGGCGCGATATTGAAAATGGAAGTTGGCACTCTCTCCCGCGTGTCATCAGCGCCATCGACCACCGATGAAGATGGAGCGAATCGAAGTAGTACCCCACCCCGCGGAGGATTCGTCGAAGCCGAAAGCTGATATAAAAGATTTTTGCCAACTCAAGGAGGCAGAAGGAGCTCGTAAATCTCAGGAAATATGTGATTCGATCATCAATGAAAATATAATCACTTGCGAATTATGAATAAAAAAAAAGTTAATATCGGGTTAATTTATATCGGCCGGAATTTTATCTGGAAAAAAGGATTTCCTTAAAATATTTATTTTTATATTAGTAATTGAAGAAGTAAAAACTTGATACGCTAATTGAAGATTGTGATAATCAAAATAACATGTTATTAGTAGTATTTTTTACATCTAGTTAGACATATTGAAAATCCAATTTGTCTAATTTCTTGTTTGGTGAATTTATGATGAAATAAGCAATTCCTCAGTTAAAATGCAAATTTCATTCCTGACATATATCGGAAATCTATGAAAAATGCCAAAGAATAATGTGACTGTAGTGCATTGGAATAAGAATAACCGATGTCACCGCGCAATTTAAAAACGTAACGAAATATTGATTAATACATTCAATTTTTCACTATGGAGCCATAAAATAATATTAATCTTTTTCCATTTTGACTTGAATTTTTATGGATTTGATGTAAAAGTGCGGATAAAATTTTACCGCTCTTTTTTTTGAACGCAGATTGAACATATCGAAAGTATTGCGAGATTAAAGGAGGGGAGGGAAATGCGCATCATGGCTGTAATAAAGTAATATTTTTAAATACGGAAAAAGAGAAATACTACGGTTACAAGGATTGCAATATTAGGCAAGTGCATTACGTTCGCATTTATAATTATTATTTATTATATTAATTGCGATTATACTATCGCGCGACATATTTTTGCAATAGTATTCGTGTGCTCAGAGATGTGCCGTTAATTAGCATTTCCCAAAGCAAAAAATATAAATAATAAGATAAATCGAGAAAAATTGCGAACTTAATGATATGACGCAGCGTGCGAGAGAATTTTGTGTCAATATTTGCAAACATTTGTAACGCTATTTTTTCGCGTTGTAATAAAAAAAAAGAAATATCTTTTTTTCTCTCGCCGTAATTCGTAACTTAAACAGACAAGGATGAAACGCACTCCATAAAAATCTCGTAAATGCCCTTGATTCAATGAAATACTGTAATACTATTTCATACGATCTCGTCTTCAACCCTCGGAGAAGGGCTGAACAAAGTATCGGAAGTGAAATAAAGAAAGCGGCAGAGGCAATAATAAGACCGCCGGTTAAAAATAAAAAGTACAACCGAAATTAATTACGCTCTCATCTAATCCCTTCGAGCCTCCGACCTCTCTCTTTTAATTCTCGGCAGACAAAAGAATCGACTCTTTAATACTCACAGAATTTTTACCTGTATACACTATTATAATCAACTTAGAAACTCAGTCAAAGAAAGAAACGTCGCGATTTCTATCTGCGCAATTCTTTTGCTTTAGAAAAATTTACAACGATATATCGCACAATAACAAATATGCTGGAAAAGAAAAGGATTAATTAAACAATTAAAAAAATAACAATAATGAAAACAATTAAACAATTAAGAGTCTGAAAATTAAAATCTAAAAATTAGTAGAAATACAATTAATTCTACTAGCCTCTTCTAGGAAAAGAAGTATTAAATATAAGTTTCACTTTTTAAGCGTATAAACGCTTAAAGATGGAGTTATATCTGCTAAAAACGAATCTTATTCTATCCGCAAAATAGAAATTTATTCTGATATTTCATTCGATCTTATAGTGTAGCTGAAATGCAGATAATTTTATTTATTATAACATTTTAAGAGTGAAATTGCAAAATTCGATTCTTTAGAAGACTTCACAAAACATAAGCTAAAAAAGATTCCATGGTAAAATATTTCTTCTATGAGACAAAATAAGGTAAAGTAAAGATTTGTATCCACAAATGAGGTGCAAATGAGTTGGTTCGTCACTCTTCCCGACTCTTAATACTAAAATCGCCGATGGCTTTGGAACTGGCTAAAGGTACTATTTTAGTAATCGATTTCCTATTCTTGTTCTTCGGTTAGTAAAAACCATATAGTATTTATTATTTATATCATAGAATATCTTACAAACAGAATTACATTCATATATTATTTTAATATTCTATACTGTATATCTAACAAAACTAATGAAATGATTAGCGAAACCAAAATAGCACCATCAGCGATTTTAGTATTAAGGGTTAATCGCCAACTGACGAATCCTCCTTAACGCTTTCCATTGGCGTTTCCGAAAAGCCAGAAGCCTGGTTACTTATTGCGGCTGCGGCTGCATCCGGCTGTAGAGATGTGGGGGGGGGGAGGAGGTGGGAGGAGGTTTGGACGCGGCGTGCCCGAGTAAATCACGGTGGATTTAAGTGGATCCTACAAACTCTCTCGCGCTGGGGCCACCCCTGACGATGTATCGTCCTGGGTAGAGTCGTTGCGGCACCACCGCTACCGCAGCGCGGATATAACCGAGTAAGAGATTCAGAGGCGAGCGAGAACGGCCGGCGAGGCAACATCCGTTGCGTCTTACGGCCGCGGCTTACAACGGAACTTCGTCGACTTGAGAAAAGCTCATAGACAGAGTAACGGATTATTCGTTGAGGACCTAGGGCGTGACACATAAAAGGGCCTTAGGATAGATTATATGAAGTTTATCATAGCACGTGGAACTCTCTTTTGATTGAGGACAACATATGAGTTTCAAAACAACTAGAAAAAAATTAAATCTTATACATTATAGACATTAATTAAAGAATAGATATCGATAAATTTACATTCTTTATCATATGCTATATGCATCTTGAAACACGGATAATGAAAATATGAATTAAGCATTTTTAAAATTTATATGTCAATTTATATAATTTTGAATTATTATAAAAAAAAAATAATTTTACATGGTCGAGAGAGAAAAACACCAATAGCAATGTAAACTCTTTACTTCGCCTAAAGGAATGTCTGAAATGTCTATTATAAATGACAGAAATGTCGATGGTTCAAATAAACATCCTATAAAATATCGCACACGACTCTTTTATATCCGCCATCTAGTCATAACTATCTCCATATTTACATCATATTCCGCAGCAAATATTCGAGCGTTATTTTCATAACGGTTCAGTACACCCGCTGTCGTCAGAACAAACAATATCGCGGAGGAAAGTTATTGTACAACATCGGGAGAGCTTCTGTGGCTTCCTCATGAAAGTCGGTGCGGTTGAAAGTGACGCCTGCGATCGTCCCTTCGATTCATTCTTTTTCTTGGTCTTTCAATATCATCTTTTTTCTCGTCACAATAATATGACGTGACTCTCTCGTCGTTATGACGGTCCATTTCGTTTCCTTCGTTCGTCTCGGGTCTTTCATCAAATTATGAGAATCGCCGTAACTCTCCTGTGCTCGGAAATACCGTGACTTCCGGATGATATCGCGAGAAAGTCAGGAATGATGAACGCCATAAGAATGATCAGAATTTTCCGTCCAAGACAAGAAATAACCTCTCTCTAGCTTATCTAGATAGGTTGATTTAACTTGGGATCTTACTACTTCGATTATCGTCGAATCATAAACATGTATTAAATAATAACAACAATGGAAACAACAATGTAAACAAAATTATTTCTTACGAAGTTAAAAGGATTATATTTTGTGAATTTTTATATTCAAAATTTGCTTCAAGATGTCTCGAACGACCAAAGTGAATTACGGAGGACCATGCAAATACGAAGAGGAAGGAAGACACTCACATAAGCAAAGTTGCAGGACTGCGGCGAAGAGGGCTACGAGTTTCCGCGCTGCCATGAGAGTCGACCAGTTTTCTGATGAGTCTTCGGGACAGTCGGCGATCTGAAAATGGAGAGAGAAATATTTTTCAATAAATGTGCAGTAATTGTCGATAGTCATCAACGCTAACAAATGAAAAGCTCAACATTCAAATGTATTGAAGTTTTCAAGATATGAAATATTTGTCAATATAATTTGAATAAATCGTAATAATAATTGTGTACAGCTTCACGTTTACCTGTGTGCTTATAAGCAAGCGCGAGAAATTTGTTTCTTGTATTAATTCGCATCATATGTCATTTGTATCAATAAGTTGAATCAGTCGGAAGAATAATTATTCACCTCAGCTTTTGATTTATGTATAAACGTATGTTTGTAAAAACGTAAAAGATTTGTTTCTTGTTGTAATCTCCATCACACATCATTTGTTTCCTGTTTTTTATTTTATTCTTTTCCGACTTGAAAGAGAGAGGGGGAAGGGGAGAGAGAGAGAGAGAGAGAGAGAGAGAGAGAAAGAGAGAGAGACCGTCAATTTTAATTATCGTTCACTTTAACTCTTTCGATACCCTTCGCAAAGGTGAAAGGATTGAGGGAGAAAAAGGGAGTAGCCATAAGAGGGTTCAATAGAAGCAGAGAGGAAGAGGGAACAAGAGATCGAAAGTAGCTTCGAAGCAAACTAACCACAACGGGTTCGCCGACTGTAATTAATGACCACCTCGTAGTTATCCTATCACCAATTAAGGGAGTTACGTTGAGACAGGCGTCCCCTCATTATTCTAAAGTGGTTAAAGATCACGAAAGCATCGTATGCGTGCATTCGTGCGCGCGATTCGAACGAGCGCATATGAACAATGAAGCGTAAAAATCGATTAAACATTAGCAAAGAACACGCAAGGAGCATCCGCTGCAAGATTTCTTCTTGCAATATCAGCTAAAAACTAAAGGGAATAATAAAGAAAATGTTTTCAAAAGAATTTTCTTGAATAGAAAAGGAAGCAAAAATAGACGTAGGAAAATACAAGAAAAAAGTATAAGAATGCTAAATGAATAATAGTTGCATATTTTAAATTTAAATTAAAAAAAAAACAAGAGTTTAGAAGAAAGAATTTATCTATTTTATTAGCAATTCCCCATAAAGTTCACAATATAAACAACACAAACAGAATAAAGAATAAAGATAAGCTTTCAACGAAGTTACAAGTTGTATACAAAGTGAAGTATATTTAATCTTTGTTGTATTTGAAGCTGTTTTCTAAGGTGGACTAATACTATTGGCATAATCCACGTTTTCTTTTATCATATTACTGCTTTTTTCAACTTTTCAAACACTATTTTGGAAGTAAACGCCATGAGACGAAAAACTTTAATGTTTCAAACTTTTCCAATCCCCTGATAAAACTTTTTAAAAACTTGTGTATACAAAAATTGTATGTGT